AGAGAGAGAGAGAGAGAGAGAGAGAGAGAGAGAGAGAGAGAGAGAGAAAGACTGGACCTGGTGCTAGTATTTGAAATCTCAAAACCTACCCCTAGCGACACACTTCCTCCAACAAGACGGCATCTACTCCAACAAGGCCACATCTTCTAATCCTTCCCCAAACAGTTCACCAACTAGGGACTAAGCATGCAAATATATGGATCTGTGGGGGCATTCTCATTCAAACCACCACAGAAGCCAAGGCAAGAACTCAAAAGGGTCAGGACCTGGAGGCAAAAACTGAAGCAGAGACCATGGAAGAATGCTACGTATTGGCTTGCTCCTCAAGGCTTTCCTATACAACACAGGGTCACCAGCACAGAAGTGACACTTCCCAGAGTGGATAGGACCCTCCCACATTGTCATTAATCAAGAAAATGTTTTACAGACTTGCCAATCTTTTGGGGGCATTTTCTTAACTGAAGTTCCCTCTTCTTGCTTGTATCAAGCTGACTAAGAAGCTTAACCCATTTGTGATATCAGGTAGAGATAGGGAGGTCTCCATGAACAAGTTGACTAGCTGCACTGGCTGAATTGGCAAGCTCTGCACCTGAATGAAAGACCCTGCTTCAACATAAAAGGTGGGCAGTGATTAGGGAAGACACCTGATATAACTTCTGGTCTTCACATGCACATACATGCAAATACAGACATACATTCAAACATACATACATACACACACACAAGAGAGAGAAAACAGCTTTGTATGAACCTGCTTTATAAGCTATAACTCCTTATAAATGCAAAAATAATACGGCTGTTTCGTTCTACCAAAACCATTGTAGTCAGCAAAGCAGGTGAGATAGACGATTTTATTCCACCAAGTTCACTCCTTATAAAACCCAGCAGTAATGCTTTGGATGAATACATGGTAAGATCGTCTGCAGCCGATCCAGCTGTCACAGAGAGGGAGAGGGCAGCCACGGGAGGGCTCAGCTTTCTTTTTACTCTTCCGCTTTGTTGGGGGTGTATACGGTTGCTTCTTCTTGTCAGGATCTGAGAGATCTCGAGAGAGAGTGCCACAGAGCAATGTGCCTGAAAACCCAGAAGTGTGAACGCAGAGGGTCATCATTCACATTTCTTAGTTTTCGTATTAGCAGCTATATAGATACATATATCTCATGGAATATATAGTTGGGGCTCTCTTGGCTAGTTTTGTGATGGTGTTATGAATTAACTCTACGACTATGCCAAGATGCCCAATATACCACCACCATTTCTCCGACAACCCACACCAGCAATTAGATCATTGCATGACTATATTGGAAGGTATCAATCACCTTTGAGTGAAAAACCCAGAAACAGATTCTTTCTTCCTATTCCAGGCTCAGACTTTGCTACCAATTGCCCTTAACCTGCTTCCTATCTCTGAAACATGGGTATGTCTGTTAATTTGCTTCTTTGCTGTGCTGATAAAACATTTGCCAAAAACAAGTTGACAAGGGAAAGGTTTATTTCATTTTACATTTCCAGGTACCAGGTAACCGTCCATCACTGACCAAAGTCAGAGCAAGAACGTAGGACGGGAACCTGGGGGCTGGAACTGAAGCAGCGACCACAGAGGGATGCTGTTTCCTCTGCGTGGCTTTGCTCAGCTTGCTTTCTTATACACCCTAAGATCTCCCACCCCGGTGCGGCACCAACCGCAATGGTGTGGGTCTCTCCTGTATCAATTACGAATCAAGAAAAGTCCTGCAGGCTTGCCGACAAAACAATGTTGGCAGCTTCTCAACTGATTTTTTTTTTTTTTTTTTTTTTTGCAGATGAGTCTAGCTTACAGGTTGACGAAAACTAACCAGCGTTAACACGAGCAAAGCTGCCTCTCTGTAAAGGATTGACTGGGATACCAATGCTCATGTAAGAAGGAGGAGCCTTGAGGGCCAGGATGGTAGAGGCAAAGGCAGAGTTCTCTGCTTGGCAGACAGCACCCAATACAAGACCGACCTTAGTCCACCACGATCATCTCAAAGTCAGTGATGTGGGTTTTCCCCAGTTCTTGGGTCAGAAAGAGCGGACAGCTTCCTTTGGAGCAGACAGCGATGAACCAGCCAGGGAAGGCTGCAGATTCAAATGTTGACGTTGTGCCATTCTTACTGTGATAGAAGACGAAAGGTTTCATAGGTCCCTTCTGGCTGTACAGGTCCAGCACGTCCCCTTCCTGGTGGATGAGGAGATCCCGGGAAGAAACATCACAGTCTGAACTGCTCACTTCTCCAACACCAGCACCCCCTCCCCACATTAAAGCCTGGAGACTTCTGTTTCTTAAGAGAGTATTCAGAACCATACTCCCCAAATATATGTAAGAGTATAGGGAAACATTAGGACATGACTGTCAAATTGGCTTGTTTGTGTGTAGTTTGGTATTTCTCACGGGTTGAGATAAATTCTCTCTGTGGGTCCTCAATGCGGAGATGAGAGGCAGGTGTCATGTCTAGCTGCTTCAGTCACCCCAACTGCCCTGTCTCCCTGCTCCCCCAGCCAGCCTAGCCTAGTTGGTGAGCTCCAGATTTAATGAGAAACCTGTCTTAAAAATAATGTGGAGGGAGGATGGTGGCGCATGCCTTTAATCCCAATGCTTGGGAGGCAGAGGCAGGTGGATATCTGTGAGTTCGAGGCCAGTCTGGTCTACAGAGTTAGTTCCAGAGAAACCCTGTCTCAAAAAAACAGCAATGATGATGATGGTGATGATGATGTAGGGAGAGATGAAGATACCCACTGTCAATCTCTGACCCATACCCACATGTGTACACACATGTACATAGACACGTGTGAACACGTGAACATACACACATGCACGAGTAACTCTAAAAACCTTCCTCCTTGTCAAAACTTACTTTTGTAAAATAAAGCAAAAAGTTATTTTGGAAAAGGCTACTTCCAAATATCCCTACATTTTTTTTTCTCTTGTTCTTTGATGATGCACGCATCCTTAAGGGAACAATAAATCACTGTGAGGATAATCTGCAAATTGACTTTTAAAAGATTAGAAAGTCAGGATTTCTGTCAAATGGGAGTGTTATGGGCTAGACGGGCTACTTAGATGGACTCTGGTCAAGTGATCGCAGATCCTTCCCTTCCTAAACTCACCTTAAGCCGCAGCACCGGCTGCTTGCCTTCCTGTGTGCAGAACAGGCAGCATTCAGGACTTTTCAGTCCCAGATACATGGGCTCCCCCCTGTTCATTTCAAGCGTCTCCTCATATTGGCATGGGAGTAAGGTGACAGTGACTAGGGATGCAAGGGTAGAAACCGGGGTTTAGTTCATACTTTCAAAATATCTCTCTACACTAGAGACAAAGAAACAGTGGCTGAAATCTCCTTGCCAACCTTGTGCCACCTGACTGCCGCTCACCACCTGGCTCACAGCCAGCCCATTTGGGGGACTCTTTCCGTTAGAGAAGTCAGTTTCTCATAGACTCAAAGTTCAATCCCATAGATCTTTCTTTGTTGCTTGACTCTTGGAAACTTCACAGAGAAAAGTCTTCCACCTCCACCTCAACCTTCCTGGAGTCACCTCTCCTTCCCTTGACCCATCCCATAGCTGCGCAAGCCTATGGCTGCCCTCTATTCTAAACTGCCCACGCAATGCTCCTCCAGGGGAGGCCAACTAACACACGAGCAGCGGAGTGAAAGGCCGAGGGCAGACCCGCAGCATTGGCCAGAGGGACTGCCACTAAGGGCCTGGGTTTCTCACCTGGAACTGTTTGCTCTTTCCTAGGGACTACGGTGAGGACGTCGTTGTGAAGAACCCACACACGGCTACTTAGGTCCTGAATATGTCTTAACCAAGGGGTGATTCTGCGCAATTCTGTAAAGAAAGTAAAAATGCAGATATGTAAGGACCAAGACACAGAACACCCCCCACCCACCCACCCACCCACCCACGCTTCCCAATCTTTGGCTCTCCCATGAAGATCTTTACGATTTTTATCATCCACTACTAAGACGTCATCCTCATCCATTACGATGATGAACTGCTATCCCAGCTCCAGACTCACACACGTGCAGACCGACCCTAAGGGAGGAACAGAGTTAGTCCTAAAGTCCCAGTTTGACCCCAGTTCTGAGGAGCTGGTATTCAGCCTAACAACCAGGCAGCCTCTCTAACTCAAGTCTCACCAAGACCCCTCTATGAAGGGGTGTTGTCGATCGGTAGTAAAAAATTAACCAGACCAGCTTAATATAAAAGATTCAGCTTTAATAAACAGAAGAAAGGAAAACTTACAAAACCAGGGTTCCAGCGATCCGAGAACGCAGAGGGCAAAGAGAGAGGAAGCGGCAAGCGCACATGGATCTTATATTTGTTTTGTGTGGCCCCAGGGGGACACACCCTGAGCAGAATGTGATTGGCTGAGGTTCCCCCATCACCTCTACATCCTTAGACTCAGCTTATTGTCCAAGCCAAGCAGCTACACCATAACTCCTGTACAGGCCTGAGGTTTGGCAGGACAGAGAGCATCAAGGCCGGAGGCAGACAGCAAGAGATCAGAAGTCACTGACCGAAAGCGACAGGATGCATCTCTCACCTGATTACGGAGGAACTACGGCTGCTGTTGCGCTCAGCTTCTCTGACAGGCTCTACTGGGGCCCGTGCCTTTTTATACACGACATCAAGGAAGGAAGTTCTGCCTCAGTGGATCTGGGACTGCCTAGCATCCTGGATAATTGCTGGTTCCTTGTGCTGGAGGGTTCACTAAGCAGTTATCGGAATAAATGCCAGCGGTGCCAAGGTTGTGACCTATCAGAGTGCCTTGGGATGGGAGGGCATGCTAAGCCCATAAGAGCAGAAAGCAGGAAACAGTTACAGATTCTGACTGACTGAGGAAAGAAACATTAGGGGATTTCCCCAGTGTGGATGACAGGACTAGGTGATGTAAAATGAAGTGCTAGAATATTGCTCATCCCACAGGAGCTGGTAGCAAGGGCAAGAGCCAGTAGAAGACCGAGTCCTAAGTCCTATGTAGCTTTTAACCTGGCACAAGTCACCTGAGGCTGAATGGAGGGGATGCTCTGCTTTCTCCCAGCCAATCCGTGCTTCTGGTGCGCCACTTCTCCACCATTCAGCACCGATTCCTGGACTGCCTGCCCATCCCTCAGCAGATATGAGTCATTGTCTTGTTATAGGATAAGGAAGCCTGAAGGAACCTACACACCTCAGGGTGCTCCCTCCTGAACCCCATTTAGGCATATAACACACCCAAGCACCGATTCTTAACACGAAGAGATCCTTTATTAAGCAAGACAGAGAGACAAGATGGCTGAATCTGAGTTGAACAGAAGCAGTAGCAAAGTCTCTCCAAGAGTGGTTTTTTTTTTTTTTTTTAAAAAGGGAAAAGGGGGTGGTGGTGTCTGTGTTAGGATGAGTTGGTAGGCTCAGATTGAATATATTGGTCAGTGTAGCCTAATAGGCAATTCTGATAGCCGGATTTTGGTGGTTAGCCTCAGGAAGGAGTCAGGCATGAGGAAGTAGCCAAATAATAGAATGGACCTTGATGGCCAGCTTTAGGAACATGAAATTGCCTAAGGAAGGGAATCTAATGGTTTAGCAAGAAAGAAGGAAGTGGGGAGGGGTGGGGAGGCAGGGCCTGATTACGACATATTTTCATGTTTGGGCTTCTTAGAGTTCTTCAAAGCCTAGTTATCAGATGGTCTGAGGCAACAGTACCTATATTAGATCTTTGCAAAAGGAAACTGAGGCATTGGTTTTGATGTTTTATCCTATATCTGAGTTCACAGTCTTCCTCCAATAGACCCCAGAACATGTCACCTTTATACTTCATTGGCTTCCATCTCAGGGACAAATGCTATCAATGAGTTAAGGGATTGGTGGACAAGGTCCCAGCCTCTCTGTCCTCTGAGGGCTCCCAGTCCCAGTTACCTATAAATGTAATTAGTATGCCCTGCATTTCCTGGAGCCGTCTCCTAATCAGGTTCCCTGCTATAAGGGCAACCTCAATTAAGACAATACCTCAGTGTTCAAAAGGAAAATACTTGTATTCAATTGATACATATTCAAAATAATCAAATGATGTGTACTCAAAATAATCTTGTCAGCATTCCTAACTATGCACACATTTGATTTTAAAGCAGAGGCTGTGGATGATGTTCTGGCGTTTTGTCAGAAATACAGAAACTCAGGCTTTACTCCAACCTACAAACTCAAGATCTGAAAGAAAAGAATATTAAAATTGCTATACTACCGGGAGTGGTGGTACATGCCTTTAATTCCAGCACTCATGAGGTGGAGGCAGGTGGATCTCTAGGAGTTAGAGCTCAGCCTGGTCTACATGGTGAGTCCCAGGACAGCCAGGACTTTGCCTTCTGTGTTTACAGCGTACATCTATGCTCAGTAACACAATCAAACCAATACAAAAAGAAAGAGCGGGGGGGGGGGAGTGTGTCCAGGCATGTCTGGGGGCAGGGAGGGAATCATTTCCCGAGCCCTGAAGCCATTTTTCTCCAATCCCTGAAAACTACGCCAATGAACTCTGTTGGTACCAAACAGGAGGAGAGAGAAAGATGAAAAGAAGCCATTTCAGGAGAGCCATGGGTACAGGTATGAGGCTATTGGATTCTATCAAAGAAATGCCCTTATAACTTCATTAGCATAAGATGTCATAAAATCAAAGACAAATGTCAAATAGAAAAACTAACAAGTAATAAAGATGCATTTCCTCCAAGGAAACCAAAGACTGACAGTAATGGGAGAAGACATCAGAATAATATCCCGATGCTGAATTTAGGTGGACTTTTGGGTAAGATGGCTGATTACAGGCTGACTCTGGGTGAGGCAGGAAGGAGTCATGATTTGAAATAATAGGCTCTATCTCAAAGAGAGAAATAGAAGAAGAGTCTTGGGAATCCAAGAAGGAAGCAAAAGGATTCCTGAAAAAAAGCAACCCCTCACCCCCCAAAAAAAGAACAAAGAGAAGATGGAGAAGCAACCGGAATACAACCTCAGCCATGAGTTCCATGGCCAGGGAAGGGGAAACAGAAGCAGCTTTCAAAAGGTGAACGATCCTCTCCTTGCGACAAACCACGGTCCTCACAGGCTTCAAGCACAGTTGTAGGTTTTAGTGAGAAGGTGAGACAGCAGTGGAGAGAAAGCCTAGGATGTCAAACTATACTACTTAGAGGCCAGTACCCAGGCAGCATCCTGAGAATCTGCTGGTAAAACCTGAACCACCCTAGGGGCCTGATGAGGGAGAAGCCACAGGTCTGAGACTCAGGTCTGGGCCAGCTCCTGTGGAGAAAAGGCACCTGCAGGCAGGTGTGCACAGCAGGAGGACCAGGCACTGGAAGAGGAAGGAAGCCAGCAGCTTCAGGACCAGCTCAGGGGGGAACTGCATAGGGAGAGACAGCCCACCTTGGGTGGTCAGAAACTGACCTCATCAACTGAAAACAGCTCTAAGAGACTGATAGCTTTGAGCCCAAAGTCAGTCTGCGATCTGATTTGGGGACCTCCTTTGTTCACCGCCTCAGAGCCTGAGAACACTGAAGTATAGGCTGTACACTGTCTCAGAGTTTCTATTACTGTGAAGAGACACCATGGCCACAGCAACTCTTATAAAGGAAAGGATTTAATTGGGGCTGCCTTACAGTGCAGAGGGAATTTTCTTTCTTTCTTTTTTTAGAAAACTATTTATTTATGTATGAGTGCCCTGTCTGCATGTACACTTATTTGACAGAACGGGGCTTCAGATCCCATTATAGATGGTTGTGAATCACCATGCACTTTATGCTCCTGGGCATCGAACTCAGGACCCCTGAAAAAACAGTCAGTGCTCTTAACTGCTGAGCCACCTTTCTAGCGCCAAGGGGACTTTCTTTTCTGGTCCAATTTATTTGGTGCTCTGTATGCTTCTTGTACATTTACAGGCAATCCTTCTTTAAGGTTAGGAAACTTTTCGTCTATGACTTGGTTGAGAATGCTTTCTGGCCCTTTGACCTGTATTTCTTATCCTTCCTCAATTCCTATTATTCTTAGATTTGGTCTTTCTATAATCATCCAGATTTCCTGGATGTTTTGTGTCATGAGTCTTTTTGATTTAATATTTTCTCTATGAATGTACTCATTTCTTCTTTCATGTCTTCAATGCCTTAGATCCTCTTTTCTATCTTGCATTCTACAGGGAAAGCTTGTTTCTGTACTTCCCGTTTAAATACCTAAGTTTTTTATTACCAGCATTCCCTCAGTTTGGGTTTTCTTTGTTGATTCTATTTATATTTTCAGGTCTTGAACAACTTCATTCAGTTCCATCCACTGTTTGTCTGTGTTTTCCTGAATTTCTTTAAGGGATTTATTAGTTCCTTCTTTAAGGACCTCTATAATCTTCTTAATGGCTGCTTTAAGATCTTCCTATATTTCAGCTATATTTGAATATTCAGGACTTGCTATATTGGGTTACTGGGTTCTCATGCAGACATATGTCTTGTTATTGATTGTGTTTTTATACCAGTGTCCAGATATCTGGGATTGGGAAGATTATAGTTCTAGGTGCTGGTATCTGTTTTTGTTTTCGTTGGGTGGTTGTTTTGTTTCTTGGTTTCTATTTCTGTAAGTGAAGGGAAAGATATTCTGGAAGCCAAAAAAAACAAAAAACAAAAAACCTTCCGTTCTGAAGGGCACGATATTCCAACAGAAGTGTTACAGTTCTGTTCCTGCAGGGGACAGTTTCCCCAAAAGTGTTACAGGTCTTGCTCCAGGAAAGGTTTTCTTAATACGAGTGTAACAACTCTGCTCCAGCAGCAGAGTAGGGTTCTCTGGCAAGGTAGTTACAGCTTGCTCCAGATCAGTTCAGCTTCCCTAGAGTGTTACAATTCTGCTCCAGCAAGGGAAAGTTTCTTTATCTAAAGTGTTACAGCTCTGCTCTGTTCCAGTGGAGGTTATTACATCTCAGCTCTGCTCCAGCAGACAAACCTCACTCGAGATTTATTGGGAGGGGAATCCAGGAGAGTGCCTGCCTCTGCCAGGGTAGCAAAATGCAGCCCAAACTGACCAGGTACAGGGCATATATGGGGTTTCTTAGGGGTAGAGCTTTTCAGGGTGGCAATTGGTAGGAACTCAAGGATAAGCTCAGGGATTGGTTGGATTTCATGCTCAGGCATTGGCTGGCTTTTGTGCTCAGCGATTGGTTAGATTTCAAGTCCCAAGTTAGTTAGGGGCAGGGTATGTTTCTTTGGCTCTGGTTTTAGATCCAGGCCCTTTTTCCCTATGCTTCCTCTCTGAATTTAGGAGAGTGTGGTGCCTATGTTGACTGGTAGGAAATTTTCTGTGGACCTTATAGGTGTGGCTACTGGGAGTTCCAGCTAAAATGTGTTTCTGGGTATCGGGAGCAGATACTTAGGAATGGAGATAGGCCAGGGGTCTGAAGGGGTTAACAGAATTGAGGAAAGCAGTGTTCCATCAGAATCTGCTTATTTAGTCTCTTTGTAATAGGGGCGGAGAGTGAAGAGAGAGGTCACTCCAGAAGTTTCGCTGCAGGACTGGGGGATTGGATCTGGTGGAAGAACAGAAGGAGAAGGGAAGATCTGCAGTCAGCCTGCCTACTTTCCAGGCAGGAGTGCTCTGCGGGTTAGCCAGGCATGACTGTTGAATTTGGGGGCTGGGATAAAACGGTAAGTAAAGGGAGGAGGGTTAGAAAGAGAAGAGCTGTGGAATCTACTAGAGATGGGGCTGGGGGTCCTGCTGCAGATGTTCTGTTGTAGAGTTGGGAATTCAACTGGAGCATTGGATCTGGGGTCCAGAGGGAGCGGTGAAGATCTGCCCAATAATAAGTTTTTAAATTGGCATACTAAAAAAATATTTGAAGACAAGTACACCTTAAGACAACTCATGACCATCAAGTCAGCACTGCAGAAGATACTTAGGGATAGTATATATAGAAGAGGAAGAAAAACAGCTTAAATTACAAGAGTCTAGAAAAGAATAAATTTCCTGAGAGGAAAGACTGAACAAACGAAGTAAAAAATGAATCTATTTTGTCAGACATAATAAATTAGTAAACCCTTGATATTAATAGGGAATAAAGCAAGGAACAAATAATAATCCAACCCCAAACAAATTGAATTACATAAATTAATAACTATATCACAATAGTAATGTTAAATGCAAACAACCTCAACTTACCAATAAAAATCAATGTAAACCATCCTGCATGATTAAAAATCTATATCCAAATATCTGTTATTGGCAACAGACACACCCCAAACTTAGAGTCAAAGATAGAAAACTAGAAAATGAACAAACTGGAGTAGTTATTCTAATATCTGATACAGTAGACTTCAAACCAAAGTTAATTAGAGGAGATATTATTAAAAGAAATACTTCATCAAAAAATATAACCATAGAAAGATATGTATTAAGCATTAGAATGTTCAATTTTATAAAAACAAATACTTAAAAGACATAAAAGATCCTAATACAGCTATCGGGGTGATTTCAACACCCTACTCTCATCCAAACTAAAAACCAGTAAGGAATTGCCAGATTTAAAGTATACCATAGAGCAAATAGACTTCACAGGTATCTATGGAACATTCCACTCAACAGAAAGAGAATGTTGGAATCTTTCCTAATCTAGATTCCATTCTAAGCAGCAAATTAATTTTTGATAAATACAGAAAAATCATAATCATCCCTTGTATCTTTACAGATCATAGTTGAGTACAACCAGAAGTTAATAGAAAGAAGACATGTGTATAAGCATATGAAGGCTAAACATTTCACTTTTGAGTGATAAGCAAGTCTTTGAAGAAATCAGAGAGAAATAATAAATAATAAAATAAGAAATAATAAAAATATAAATATAAATAAATAATAAATAAAATAAATATTTATAATATTATTAATATTAAATTAATTATAAATTAATTAATATTAAATTAATGTTAATAATAAATAAAAATATAAATAAAAAATAAAAATAAGTAATAAAATAATAAATAATAAATAATAGGAGGCTGAGATGTTGTCCTTCAGGCTATTAAATAAGAAAGAGATGTCCCTCACTGCCTACTCTTGACTTCTCTCTCCTAGGCTTTTCTTAAGTATTTCTCTCAATGAGTCTCTTGGCATCTTTTGTGGTAAACATCCTGACTCACATGAATCCCTAGAATGTGTGAGTGTAGTTGAGTGCATACTCTATGATCTCATCTCCACAAAAAAATAAGACATATAAAGCTACACAGTACATATTCTAGGGGTAGTCATGTATGCAGTAATATTATAATGAAATCCAAAGGAATGGTGGTCACCAAATTTAGGGTGACATTTACAGATGCAGGAAGTTGGGGAAGGAGATGGAACAGAAGATTGTCAAGTGAGGCCTCCAAAGGTCTGTCTCTTCAACTAGGTGATGAGACCTTGGGAATATTTGCTGCAAGTAAAATCTCCACACTTGTTCAACACTTATTTTGAACCACAAGAGCAGAAAGTGGGTTCTGAAGAGAGTTCCTGAATGTTCTAGAAATAATAGAAATGCAACAACAATAAAAATCATTTATTGTCTTCCTTTTATTAAAACTTTATAACAGCTTTGTTAAAAGCCATGGATAAATCAAAATAAAATAAAATGTCATTTAAAAGGTAAATCACTATATCAAGTAGCGTAAATACAATAGCCCTGCCTCATACAGTAATCTTATTAATCCTTTTCTTCTCCCAGATAACATTCTTGCTGGAATAAAGAATTGCCTTACCTTATCTTTTTTCCAAGTCTTTATTCTTTGTGGGTTTCACATCCATGCATTCCCATGCCCTTGCCTTTGCAACCTCCCCACAAATCAAAACCAATTTTAAAAGAAAATCCAAAAATCAAACCAAACCAAAACAAACAACAAAACACAAGTAGGAGAATTTTGTATTGGAAGCTGTAGTGTGACCTATCAAGACACACAGTTTACCCTTTAGTCCATACATCCTTACTTGTTCATTGCCTCAAGTCATTGGTCTGGCTCGAGGCCTCTGGTTTCTGCTACACCACTGATAACAGACTCCTGCTGGAGTTCTTTGGGGGGCCTTGAGTACCAGCTTCAGCATCCACTCAGGGCTCAGAATAGGACATCTATGGCAAGTGAGGATGTGAGGGCAAAATTGACTCAAGCATGTTCTTTATTTTTCGGGTGAGGAGGAAAAGTGAAGTGAAGGGATGTGGAGAATAATATGAATAAAGGGGTGATCGCCACGAGGTTTCTAGTTTTTAGAGACATAGTTGGAAAATTCCATAGACAGAGGCAAAATTTTGATATGCATATCAAAATCACAAAAATGGCAGGTAGAACCTGACAAAGTAGTGCTCCCGAACAGACGACACCACCCAGGAGAGTGCCAGTAACCAAGGGAAAGTACCTGACATTCCAAACCATTAGATAAGATTACTAAACATCCCTGAGTCCTGGATTTATTCATTCTCCTCATCCAGTCTCTTTGGTGATAAGCAGCTTTGGGGACCCCCAGATTTGTTTGTTAGCAAAGGTGGGATATGCTATCTTCCTGCTCAGTGCCTGCCTTCTATAGAAATTCCTATGTGGTCTGTTAGCAGGTAACTTTGTGGGGTTGACTCTATGTAAATTTGACTGTTCGGACAAAGAGTGAATGTTATTGCTCTAAAGACTCATGGTCATGAGGAATGATCTCATGGAAAGGTCATTCCATTGCCTGTTACCTGTGTGTCACACTGCTGAGGTGTTCTGGGAATGAATCCATTTTGAAGGGAGAATCATGACCTCACAAGGTTTTTATAGATGTGACGGTGACTTTTCCAAAAGACAAGTGTTCCTGCTGCTCTGCAAAATCGGATGCTTCATAAGTCGTATACTTGTGGGCCTGCCTTTATGAATCTGTCAGCTGCACATTTACTGGATAGTCTTTCAGGCTCCAGAAGAGTTTCTCTTGAATACCCTGTTGTCTTGTCCTGTGTCATGGAGATCCTGCCATTTTGGATCTGTAGGTTCATCCCCTTTATATGCTCTAATAGTTCATAGATTTGGTGGATGTTGGTGTGGGCCAACTCATAACCCTGCTCTGGGCCTGGGTGGTACCTCAATTGGTCAGCCTGCCAGCTTTCCCTCATGGTCACTACCCAGGCGACCTCTCCAGTGCCGCCTTTTCTAGCTCACCCAATGTAGCCCACAGCAAGGAGCGGTGCCAGTTCTGCTCTCAGGTCCTCAGATCCTGGTCCCCATCACTCATATCGCCAGAGCCAGCTCTACTATTTTGCCCAGGCAAGGTGCAGGGCCCTCTCCCAGTTGCTGCAGAGGACATGAAATGGGGTTGGGTTTGCTCTCTTGCTCCCATGCCCTCAGAGTTGGTTCACCTGAGTTCTAGTGTGCTGCCCAGGTGGGGTACAGGGCCCACTCTCCTTTGCACTCAGCTGGTGAGGGGCAGGGCTAGTTTTCTCACTATTGTGACCCCGGGGCCAACTCTCTCACCTACCACAGTAGCAAGGGGTAGAGGAGGGAGACCATCTTTCTCTCATCCCTGACATGGCATGGCAGACAGGGAGGGAAGGGTCTGCTCTGTTGCTGGCTCACGTGCATCCCTGACATCAGGGTCAGTTCTCGTGTGCTGCCCAGGCCTTCTTTAATCTCTCTGTTTTTCTGCTTCTGTCTCTGTCGATCTGTCTACTTGTCTGTTTTCTCTCTTTCCTCTTTTTTTCCCTCATTTTCTTTCTCTTTCCACCTAGGCCTGGCCTCATACTCATCCTCCTGCCTCAACTTTCTGAGCGCTAAGATTCCAGGCATGTACTACCACATAGAATTTTTCTTATTTTTATATAAGGTTCATTATTTCCCTCACAAATTTTCCCACCATCAAAATCTTTCTAATTCATTTAAACATACTGAGCTCACTGTCTACATGACTGGGTTATTTCTGCTAAGCCTAGAGAAGCTCTGCCTTGCCTGGTCATCTTCTGGGGTCTTTCTTTACCATTATCAGGCAGGTTCACCTTCCTGTTCTCTGCTGAAGACAACCTACTTTAAGGATATTAAACATTTTTCTATTGTTTGGGGAGACATTTCTTTAGCAGTTTTTTAAAAAGCAAAACATATGGAAACAAATCATTTTAAAACTTTTAAAATTTATGTATTGTGTGTGTGTGAGAGAGAGTGTGTGTACATGTATGTGTGCTGTGACACATGTGTGAAGGTCAGAGGACAATTTTCCTGAGTCATCTTTACTTCCGTTGTCCTACTGTGGGTTTCAGAGATGGAACTTGGGTCATCAGGCTTGGATAGAAAGCATTTTTACCTGTGGTGCCATCTTGCCAACTCTGAAAACAAACTTCCTTGAATGGGCTTATTCTACTTTTATTCTTAATCAATAAAATATGTGTGTAGAAACTTCTGCCATGGAAATAACTTTCCTCTACGAAGTTTTGCTCCACCGGCCTCTGGTGCACTTGCTCACAGTGAGGAGTGCAAAGCGATTGTGGTTCTTCCGTCCTTTGAATGGGTCTCGTTTTTATTCTCTAGCAGTTTTTAAGAAATTGCCACTGTGTCCCCATTCCCCAAAGCATCGATGCTGATTTCTATCATCAAAATTGGTTTCACCTATTCTTTAACTTCTTATAAAGGAACCCATACATTTTATCCCTCCTGTGCTTATCATTCTTAGGGCATTCAAGGCATTTATCTAATATCAGCAATTTCCCTTTACTGGGTAATATTAAATACGTTGTGTATGTCACTGGTTGATAGGAATTTGGGTTCTTTCTATGCTTAAAGTATTATGAAATTTGATTCCAAGGCTTGAGCATTTTTAGGCAAGTCCTTTTGCACAGCTCAATTTTAAACTGCTCAAGAGGCAAAGGCCTCAGGGGGAAAATGTCAGCATCAGCAAGAAATATACTAAGATAACTTGATTTCTACAGAAGCACACATATAGTCCTAACTATGATTAATCTGAGTATATCTACTAGAAAATTATACTGAGACGATCCAGGGAAGCGTTAGTCAACCAGCAGCCCCTAGGGATCATGTTGCAATGTCTAGGAAGTTTTAATTTACTAGGTGTGGGGTTTGTGAAGGTCTAGCACATGCCCCTGGCAAGTCTGATGCTGTTTCAAGTTTGAGAAATGCAGTGAAATAAGTACACGTCAGCTCTTGTGTCCTTACATAATCATATTTGGATGGCCAGAGGTACTGCATTTGAATGAGTCATCTGCCCATACCCTGAGAAATAAGGCCAGATTCAAGGATGGGAGGGAGGTGCCCCTGAGTTTGCCACATGTTAGGCAATCTCTACCAAGATTGAAACATTCTATCCCCCAGGGAAGCTCCTTAAGCCAGAAAGTAAACAACGCAAAATAGCTTCAGGAAATTCCTGAAACTGACCGGATTCACTAGGCCCCGCCCAGTCAGAGTAAACAATAAAAGTTGCGCATTCTCCTCAGAGGAGCTAAGGTGCAGAGAAGATTGAGACCAAACCATCTGCCTGAAAGAACCAAAACCGGCAGAGCTGGCTGGAAGAGAGTTAGACCAACTGAGGCACCTGGCAAGGACACTCTCCAGCCTGTTGAGTAGCCTGCAGGCAGTGCAGTGTGCTCCAAGTTTCCTAGCCTTTGTGTATTGCCACTCATGCTGGGGTGGGTTTTGGTGATGCAGTTGTCTTTGAGTCGATTCTGCTCCTGTAAGGAACCCCTCACCTATATTCCTGTAAGTAACCCTAATAAAACTCATTGATTTACCAAGCTAGACTTTGGTGGTATCTGTAATTTAGTCTGTCATGCCATGGGATCCCTCTTTTGGGTAAATAGATATGTGTATTGTGTTTCCCTAGGAGAAATTTTGTCATGTACATCATGACATCATGAAATGATTAAGGTAACACCATCCTATACCAATATTATTTTGTGCCTGCCTGGTTGTTTCTTGGCCTTCTACCCCCAATCGCCACATTCTCCTTGACAAAACTTCTGGGACACTCCATGATCTTGACCATGGTCCAACCATACTGTGTAGTGTCTGGAAGATACTGCTGAGCCTTGTAAAGAAAGCAGATGCTACTAGGCAACTCCCAAACCTCCCAGACTAATGTAACACAGCCCCCTAGCACTGATATAATTATGGTTTTATCTTTTAAAACGCTGTACCCTTGAACTTGGGCACCAAGAGACTTTCCGGAGATGTGAGTCCATTCTTAGTCTGGCTATTAATAAAGAACCCAAAACTTTTAACTGACTTGATCAGTGCAGTTGTCAGTACTCATGTCACCCATCTCATGTGGACCATTTCAATATTGTTCAGGGTCATTTCTATTGATTTCTTTTCTTTTTTTTGGTGGGGTGTAGGAAAGCAGTTTATTAGGCTGAGCTTCCAGCCTTGTCCATGGGAGCCCTGCTTGCTCTCGGTAAAGGTTATGGAGCACCCCTACTGCCTTCCTGGTCTTCCACATTGAGACACTGTAGCCCTCAGATCTGGTACTGCAATGCCCCGCCCATCAGGAGGTGGCAGAGGTGGTGGTGTTGCAGTCTCCAGGGCAGGCTCCCGGGCACCAGAGGCTGTGCTGTCACACTCTCTAGCTTTCTAAGAGCCCCGTCACTTTTGCCTGGTGCTCTCTCATCCAGAGCGCCACCCTCCACTTCGTCTTGTTCCTGCTCCTTCTTCCTCTAGGCTGTTGGCGAAAGGATTCTCACCCTTCAGATAACACTCCAGCTTCTTCTTACACTGTGTTTCATAATGGCTCAACTCCAGCAGACAGAAATTTGAAGTCCCCAAATCAAGAATGTCATTATTTTCAGTTATAGTAATAAATGTTAGTGCCATTCTCTGCATTTCTTACCCATCCCACTTTTCTTCCTGTCCTCATTCATAAAATAAAAATGCAGGAGAAAATGATGCCATTTAAAAATTTATCCATGGACTGGAGAGATGGATCAGTGGTTGAGAGTATTGTTCTTTTAAAAAGAATATGATGATGGGATGCCCCGGGCGGCTCGCAGAGCAGCTGCTAGTGGCTGTGGGTCCCTGCAAGATCTCCAGGGTGGTAGCGCCATGTGGCCGGGGGAGTCAGGTGGGAGGTTACAGCGGATAAAAGGCTCACAGGACTTTATTTAAAGAAGAGGGAGACATTTATTGCTTAAAGAAGAGGAAAACAGAGAGACATAAGAAAAACGTAGAGAGAACAAAGACACATGTACACATGACATGAGACAAACACACAAGAGAGAGAAAGATGGTGATGGGGGAGGTCAGAAGTGGCTGGGGTGGGCGTGGCTAGCTCTTAAAGTGACAGCAAAGAATAACAGAGAGTATGCACAGCTCTTGCAGAGGACCTGAGTCAGGTCCCCAGTATCCATATCAGACATCTCACAACCTCCTGCAATGCCCAGTTCTAGGGAATTCAACGGCCTCATCTGGCCTCCAATAGTACCTGCATTCATGAATACACAAACACACACACTCTTAAAAATAATAAAGTAAATTATCCAGATCCTAAAAACAGGCAAAAAGATCATCTTGGGCCACTGTGTAACAGGCTCTCCTAGTTTCACTGTTGGAAGGTACAGCTCCCTGTGACTCAGTGCTTACTTCCATTGCTCCCATGTATACCTCGGTGCATGGAAGCAAGCTGCAGGGGAAAAAGGAACTGAAAAAGAGGAAGCACCTTAGGGAGGCAGGACTAGGGTGGGATACTAATGCTTTAACCACAGATAAGCATTGTAATGGAAGGAATATTAAAACACTTATGAAGTCTAAAGCAATAAGAGTTAATGTTTTATTGACATGCCCTGTTACTCATACACTTTGTTCTCGGTACTCATCTCTACCAGGATGATTCAAAAAAGGGTTGCTCAAGCCAGGTTACTTAATCTAACTGTTTATGAGTCACCAGGCAGCATCCTCACTCTTCATGGAGCAACCCCTGTCCCCCAACATAGTTGGCATAGCTCTAAACATGTTTTTAAGACTACTAATTCACCCAGGAATCTAATCCTTTTGCCGGTGTGTCCAGCTCCACACAGCAGTCGGCCACTAAAGGATCAAAGCAATTGGCTGTCACAGTGAAGATTATTGAGAAGCCTCTGCTACTCAAATGCAAGGATTTGATATTCCGAGTGTGTAAAACCTGGTGTGAATTAGGCCCATGGCTTGGACACAAGGATGTCGCCACTCACAGGCCGTTCCAGGTTTTACACACTGTGGCACAGCACCCTATTTCTCAGGCATGATGCCTTGGGGGCTTGAACCACTGCAGCCTTAGAGGACAGCCTTATGCGGCTCCCATCCCACCTATTTCGGAGTACACATCTTGCTTTATTGCTCCTTTGTCTATGAAGTGAGATAATGCTGGTCCTGCTCACCTCTCAGGATGAAAACACCACAGATCAAATAAAATTTTTAAGACAAAGACTTCCAGCCAACCTTCTCCCTCTATGCTGAGTTCAAGGCCCTATATCTAAACTGAAGTTAATGTTGTAGTATTTCCCCTGTTCTGACGTGAGGAAGATGGGCTCGCCACTCTTGGAGGATGCAATGAAGCTACCAGGGAAAGCCACAGACTCAAAGGTGGACGTTCTGCCTGTCTGGGTATGGTAAAACAGGAAGGGCTTCTTGGGCTCAGGATGGTTGTACAAATCCAAAATCTCCTCCTCCTGGATGTGAGAGAGAATACACATGAGCAAAATAGAGGCTGCTTCTGATAGGCAAAGCTATTTTTGAAGAACCAGTATATATTCCCGAATTCAAGGAAGCCTCTCTTACAACTGAACAAGAAAAGGACATTTCAGGGGTTAGGAATTTAGCTCAGTGGTAGAGCATGTCTAGCAAGTGCAAGGCCCTCGGTTCAGTCTCCACTAATGCATTCCCCCCGCCCCGCCCCCCCCAAAAAGAAAGAAGCAGAAAGAGAAGGGAAAGGAAGGAAGGCAGAGGAACATGTGTCAACTCTCTCTGCCTCTCACTATCTCAGTTCTGTGTTTTCTCCTTCACTTGCAAACACCCTCTGCATTTAGCATTTCTACCCACTAACCATGAATGCTTCTCAGACTTTCCCAGACTATCCTGACATTCAGCTCAGCAGAGATTGCCTGACTGTCAAACAGTGAAGGTCTGCTTTCGCATTTCTAGCTCCCACCACACTTCCGTCATCTTCACTCCCAGTTTCCAACTCCCCAAGGAAGCTGAAGGCCTGGATGAGAAGCTCTCCTAACGAACCACCGAGCGGATGCATCTCATCTATACCTGTCCTCTCTACCTGAGAACGACTAGACACGACTTCTCTCCACTCCTTTACTCATGGATATTCTTCTAGCCGGCCTTCCTGTTCTCTCATGCAGCAGCCACTTTTGCTTTCTCTGCTCAATCATTGTTTTGTCTCTATATTTGCTTTCATCTTAAGAAACATAACTGAACAACAGACACACGCTGAGAGTAATTGTGGATGACTTCACCATTGTGTCAATGTTGCAAATGTGCTTACACACCCAAAACAGCGACAGTGTCACTGGATGACATCTTAGGAGACCACTGTGTATGAAATCCATTGTTAGTCAAACCAATGTCATGTGTCACATAACTGTATTCTAATGACCCAACACCTCGGTCAGTTCTTACTTTACAGAAAACCCCTTGCAATAGTTGCCAATATTTGCTGTTTGGTTTATCTCCTTAAACTCACTCTGTGTAAGCAAGATTTAACCCCCAATGCTATCTCATTAAGATCCCCTAAAATCCATCCATTATCAATGACTGAGGTCAAAAATCCAAGAGAAGAGAGACCTAGAAAAAGGCAGGCCAGAGCGCAGAATGCAATCACATTTACTCTGTCCACAGTCTTGTTGTTGACACTGAGAATGTTTTCAGAATCTGCCCCCGCCCATGCCATACTATCCCAGAGCCATCGACTCCCACCTAACTCCCCATAAAGCCTCCCGAGGCCTTCTTCTCTTCCCCCCTATCTGATCAACCTGGAGTCAGAGTGATCCACTTTAGACCTCAGTTATTTTGGGTCACTCTGCTCAAGGCGTCCCAGGTTTCTCCTTTCACTTGGGTGGGTGGCCAGGTCCTGGCAGAGGTCTGATCTCAGTTCACTGCTATACACCTGTCTATACTGGCCCTGGGGCCAACCCTCACTTGCTGACTTCCCAGCCTCATGCTCACTCCAAGAATTCCTCCTACACAATGACACCTACCAAATAATGTACACCGGGGTTTGACTCCACTCCTATTTCTTCTACTCCCAGGCTCAGCCCTGATCTGATTTTGTTTTGCTTTGCTTTTTGGTGGAACTTGTTTTGTTTTGCTTTGCTTTTCCTAGGATACGTGACAAGTGTACTAGTATATCTAAAATTTGCATGTCTCCTCTTCTTCTATAATCTAGGCTGGACAAGCTTAGAGCCCTTTGCCATTCTGCTTAAAGATTATCCCATGCAGTCATGTGATATAATTAAGTTCCTGCACATTTTGCTCCGTTACATTGTATTGAGTTGAATTAACCTAATTAAAGTGAGGTTTATGGAGCATACGTATAAATGAAATCATATTCATGTATATATATTTCTGTGTGTATATAGAATGAATACAACCAACTTGACAGCTTAGGAATTGGAAGAGCAAAGGCGAACCTTTCAGAAAAGGTTGAGGAAGGATCATTTAGCAGGCAAACCAAGACAAAAGCACAATTATAAACTGGCTGAGAAATTCTCCTAGGGGTCAAGGCCAATGTGTGAATAAAGAGTGGGGGGACAGAAAGCATGGCAATGACATAAGACATAGACAATGCTAAGGCGAGGCCTCTGGCTGGTGACTGGGAATTCTAAACTGAGAAATCCAGGAGAGTTAGGAAAAGGACACACGTGAAGGCACAGTGACAGAGGACATCTTAACATTTAAGAAAGACTAAAATCCTCAACTAAAGAAGGGCAGCTAAATTGAAGCCTATTGCATGTCTGTTTTTGATGTTGCTCCAGGGGAGAAAGAGTTTATTTGGCTTAAAATACCAAGCTATAGCCCATGGCTTCTGGTAAGTCAAGGCAGGGCTTGGCTTTCCCACAGTTGACGATTGAGGTAGGCTGCTGCAGGATATGCCCGTATTTTAAAAGGGGCTAAACCTAGGCATGCTTAGGAAAATAAACGTCTTTGTTAATTCTGCAATTTGATATCCTGCCAAATAAACCATGTCAAGATGCACAAGTTTTTCTTGAACACCAGAAAGGAAACCAAGGGGGGAGGGGGAGCAGTGACGAAGTGGGGGAAGGAGAAAGGACGTGTGTGACATGCAACAGAAAGGAAGCTGGTGGAGAGTTAGATGTGAGATCATAGGAGGGAGCTGGGATGTTGAGAACCCACTAAAACACACTTTGCTCAAATACTGCCACACGCAACCTAACGCTTTCTATGCTAACTTAAAAATGAAAATTATAAGAAAAGAAATGCAGGCTTTTTTATCTTTATTTGATTTTTCTGGGTCACCGACCTTGAGCTGCAAAGTGGGCTGTCCATCAACTTCCTCACAAAACAGGCATTTGTCTGGATTCTGGATTCCCATGTAAATGGGAACCCCTTTGCCTTGCTCCAGAGACTCTGGATACTTGCATGGGAGGACCGTGATGGTGACTGTAAGGGTAAGAAGATAGCAATTTCTTTCTGAGGCCGGGAAGACAGAGCGCCCTCATTGTTCTAACTTAGCGTTTGTCAAGCAAGGCCAGAGGATGCTTGACGAGTATAACCCCTGCTACCCAGACTAACCAAGTGGTCATCCACCCCCTCACCCATCCAACCTGACAGGCAAGCACTGTCCTAGCTATTGGGGCCTGCACAGAGTTAAGCAGATGGATTGAGATGTTCACATCTGTGCTTAAACACCTGGAGGCCGAAGCTCCTACCCTATGCCGTTTCTCTGACCCTTGGAGAGCTGTGACCATTAGCCTAATAGGATGTTGAAATTTATCTTTCTGTGTTTTCCGTTCATTTCATCCTTTTAGGATGCCTTAATGTATATAGACATCTATCTTCCTCTTCCATAGGACAGATCTGCTGGTGACTGCTTTGCTCTAGTCTGGTACAAACCTCTCCCTGATTTGTCTTTCAAGGCAGGAGTAAAGTTCTGCCCCTTCCAGGTAAGCCCCATGGAAAGTTAAGCTCGGTTTTGACACAGAATTAGACATATTTTGGAGGTACAAAGTATTGATTTAATGCACGTCTATGCCATGCAACAATGAGGAAACCAGAGAATCGGTATATTCTTCATCTCATATATTTAGTGTTTAGTTATGGTCAAACACTCAAGAAGCTCTCTTCTGACTACTGTTAACTGTGGTTAACATCCTGCTACATGATAGGGCACTGACACTTTCTTTCACAGAGACTATGTAAGGAGCAAAGCAGTGACAGGTGACCACCGACCTGGGGCTATGTTGTTACTCCACGGAACCACCACAAGGCCCTGACCACGAAAGATCCACACCTGCTGCTCCAAGTCAGAAACCCTCCCAGACTGAGGAGTACTTCTGGCTGTTTGCATGAAAACAAATGATAGACATGAAGATTAAGTCTCAAATCTTAGAATAGGAGAAAGATAAACCTAAACCTTCTGTAATGAAGGTTTGCATCCAGGGGTTTACATCCCCAAACTGACAGCCTTCATGTAGCCCATCAACCTGGACTTTCTTTGCAGTAAATCCATGGTAAGCAAAGGTCACTAAGGATTACTGTTCTAAGAGGACAAATAATAAAGACAAAGTGACCAAGTAGTTCTACACTTCGTATATGTTGAGACCCAGCTGCTTGGTCTGACGCTGTGAGCCGTAGTTAGAGCAGTGGCTAAGTAGTGGTCTCCATCCTGCAGAAAATGAAGGCCTAGTGGCATATGGGCACCTTGCTATGTGCCAAGAGCCATATTTGAGGGACAGGATGGAATTCTCGGGTGTCCAGAGGACGTATATGAGGATGCAAATAGTCCGGCGCTCTAGTGTCCCATTCCCAGCATCACCTTCAATTTTGTCATTTCCTGGATTGTTTGCCATAGTGAGCTTGTCCTGGTACCTGAGGGAGGAGACATCAGGAGGAAAGATAAGCTTCAGGAGACATTGCCAAGATTTTTCAAAACCCTGAATCCCTGGGCTCTCATTCAGAACAGAACCGAAGTGAAGAACCAGACAGGATACTGTAGTCAGAAGAGCTAAGTTACCTCCTGGAACCAAACCTCAAGGCGCTGGAGACAGAAGAGCAGGCAGAATTCTCCTCTACCCCAAAATCTCAATAACATTATCTCCCTACAGATTTTAAGGCCATAAATAACATTTAGCCTTAAACATTCCCCCCGTGTCCAATTCCTTGTACATCTTTTCCCCAGAGGCCTTTCCCCTTCGTTGCCATATTTTTTCTGCCTAAGGCAAGGGAGGGCTTCATGTTGGGCAGTTTGGCCAGAATCCCAGCAATTCAGAAGTGAAAGACAGAGGTTCACACATACAGCAGGGCCCAGAGTCATGGCTAGATTTTTTCCCATTCACTGAGCCCTAAGGTCCAGAAAGCCTCAGAGTCTAAAGTTCTGTAGGGATGGACTGTACCTGTCAAGAAGATGCTTTATGGGCAATCCAGGAGAGCAAGTCACAGCTGGGACAGCTCCCAGGTGCCGTGATGAGCTTTGACGGAGCCTGCGTAATTTGTCTAGGTGAGTGCAGGAGGCTCCAGACTCTTTTATGGGGTGTGACAACGTGGAAGATACCCAGTTCCTCCTGCCTGAGCCTTGCACCTGGGAGTCTCAGGTGAAGAAATCACAGAATAAGCACAAGTGTGACTTGTCTGAGCTCCTGTGGAATCATGAGGAGCCCAGCCTCACAGGTCAGTCATCAGGAAACAGAGGTCATGACAAACCTTAGATTTCTCAAAAGGGAGTGACTGTGGGGTTTTCCCGGAGCTCAGCTGACCTGACCTGTCAGTTTGGGGTTCGGGTGCAAATTCAAGAAACACAAAAGACAGGGTTGGCTCCTGGAACCTGGACCTCCCCACAATGGTCTCCCTAGTCAAACTGTTACTTTCCACCTGGGTCTCTTTCTGGCATTTGAGCAATGTGCTCCTATGTTACCTTGGAAGACAGTGTAAAAATGAATTGAGAATCACTCTTATCCAAAATCAGGTTCGGTGCCTGTCACTTCCCAAGTCCCTTTCCATTACATATCAGTCAAAATGTCTCTTCCTTGGGATGCTCATCACAAAACAGCATTGTAAAGGCACTACTTGCCCAAATCCCTGAGTGTTCTGTTTCAGACAGAACCCAATCTGGAAAACAGAATCTGCGCTAGGACTTTAAATGGAGAGAACCAAAGACAAGAAACTGGGCTTACTCCTACAGAACGGTTCATGGAGGCGGAAGAATAAAAAGAACTGTGGTACCGTATATGGTAACAATGTGGTAATGAAAGGAAAAAAATAACCAGGAGCTCGAATGAAGGCTCTTGGGGTAATGCCTTAGGAAGAGGGACATCCTGCGCCCAACTGATGCCCTTAAGAAGAGTATGCAAAGAGCACACCGATTGGCTGCCCAGTGCCAAATGGCCAGTACTGAGAACATGCATACAAGCAACATTATATGAACTTAACAGGTTATGTTTTGGAATATATATGTATATAAAACAGCAAATTAAGGAAAAAGAGGACAAGAATTTGAAGAAGAGCAGGGAGGGATAGATGGGAAAGTTTGGAGAGAGAAAAGGGAAGGGAGACATGTTGCAATTTTAATCTCGAAAAAAACTAAAAAGAATATGCCATTTTGTAGATGCACGGGCCGTGGAGATGGAGGGAGATCAGCTAGCAGATACTCACAGGGAAATATTTTCATGCATTTAAAAGTCTCTGGATATATCTTGCATCCTCCATGGCTAGAAGAAGATTGGAAGAACCTGTGTAGTCTGGTTGTGTGTCTCTTTAATTTCAGCCCTCGGCTCCGCTTGCTTTTGACCCATCCTCATCTTCCTAGCATCTAGAGATACAGCCCTTCTCAAGTGGCCATCCTCGAGTCACTGGTCCAGACTTCAGTGCGGATCTCAAAGGACAGAGACTTTAGAGGAAATGGGAGTGTGGAAACCTGGATCTGGTGCTAAAAACATTCCAGGCTGGGGAGATGATGAGCAGAAAAGAAACATATCAGCGGTGAGAGTGATTATACGGTGAGAGAGGACACCAGAAAGGACGGGGGAGTCGATCTGAGGCTTTCATAGCAACTATTTCTCAGGTCCCTCAAAAACTATGTCAATCTATGTTAAATTAATCTAATATTATGCTAGTAGAGTGAAATAGGATATTAGCTTTGTTAATCTCCTCTGAGGTTGGAACACCCAGTGACATAATCCCTTTTCTCTAGGCTCCTTTCACACGGTCTAATAAGCTTTTAGTGTGACCACACTGGGAACCAGTCTTCCATAAACGCTGTGGGCCATACTCAAGGCATATCCAGACCATACCAGGAGTGATGATGATGATGAAGAGGAACAGAAAACCACTCTTGGAGAAAAGCTACTGAGAAAGTGGTCCAGAATTCTTCTCTCAAAAATGAAATGGATAGATATTGTGAATATAAGGTCCCCTAGCAACACTTGTGATGATTACCAATATTGACACTAGATGTTAGACCATGAGCATGTTGCTTTAAAATGAGGCCACCTTGAGAGATGTGGCAGGCTGAGCGGGTTCTAGTTATACCTCCCTGAAGCCCTGGTGCCAGTTCTTCTATTCTATAGGTACAAGTAGCTATGTTAGTATCAAGGGTCCCTCTCCCATCTCTGCAGCTGCAGGTGAGCACAACCCCATGGTCCTGCTCAAGACAGAAGTGCCCTAAGTTATGCTAGAATGTTAGAGCACAGATCCTCTCATTGCTGAGTTGTTATCTTTCCCCTGAAACTCAAGCCACATCCTCCCCAGTTTCCTCTCCCCCGCCTCTCCCTCCCTGCCTCTCTACAGAGAACTGATAAGCAAAGTTTACTATGGCCTTGCAGTCTCCCCCCCTTGTTGCCCATGGCAACTGTGAGCAAACCCAAGTTAACCTTAAAGTATGATTTTATGTTTATCTAGTACCCTCCAGCCTCTGACTAGCTGGCTAGATCACGTAGTAGGTAATCTTCCTTCCCACTCTCGGAAACCTAAAGGACAGAGAAGTTCCTTTTGTGTTCTGGAATTGAAGGATTCTCCTTCCAGGGCCTCCTCATAGTCGCCCATAACAATAGCGCTGTGTCATTCCTAGGCATTCAGGGGACTGGAAGAGGATCCCCTCCAGAACCTACATCAAGCTGTCTTCCCAGACGCAGGTCTTCCTTGGGCCCGAAGGCTCGCTTTCCCACTTTGAGCCGTGATGATGTCACTTCTCGTCTGCAGAGTGGCTCCTCTCAGCTTTCTTTCTATGAGCTGTAACAATGTCCTTCGTTATTTCTGACTGCTAAAAAACACAGCAGAATTTTGCTGCTAAAATAATTCAGTTGCCATTGCTTCCTAGTAATGTTTTGGCATCATATAGAATAGTGACAACAATGGACATTAAGTGTGCTTTGAGCTGAATCCTGGAAAGTACACACAAGGCTAAATGTCTTAGATATGGAAAGAGTTTCAAGATAATTATTAGTCCATATCCTAATTTTTAGACTCTAAGAAGCTACTATCCACTGGCTTTTTTCCTTTTCTTTTCTTTTTCTTTTTTTGAGAGAGAGTAAGATAGAGAGGATAGTAATTAATCCTACAGATTGATTCACCTTATTAGATTGAGGAAAGATCGAAGGAAACTGGGTAGGGTAAGAGAACTTCTGTATCATGAGAATCTGTAGAACTACTTTGCAGGTCTCCATTCTATAATCTGCACTCATATAATCAGGTTGACAATCAAAACTAAAACGTCAGGGATCATGCAACAATAAAGGCCATTTGACCCTTCCCCAACACTTATCAACTATACAGAAGTGCTAGTGGAGCACTAGAATCTCAAAATCAAGTACAGAATTTGCCACTGACACACTCAGAGGACCAAATCCACTGTTGCTTGCCATCTCTCAAGAGCAATCTACAAAAATGGCTAGCATTCTGGACAGGGGCTGCCACTGGAAATGATACATCCTTTAGGGGATCAGGGGTACACCATGAACCACAGAGACCACTGAGGGGTCACTTACAGTCTAATAGACTTGAGAAAGTGCCGTGGAAATTTCTGGGGCAGCATCTGGTGTAGCCCCTGTAGATAAAGCAATAGTATGGACGTCCATGTTGAAAGGCTCTGCTCTGTCAAGCAGCCTGACCCTATGGCCTAAGACCCGCTTCCGTCACATCTTTCTGAAGCTGGTCTCCATGAAATCTTCATTCTATGATGTGAGCCAATACGCTATTTCACTCCATCCCTCCCTTGCATGAACGTGAAGGGCAAATTTACAAAAGTAACCCCTGAATTACTCAACAAAATAGAAGAAATAAATAGAAGTATCGGAAGAATTCTTGTAAAAGAATGGAATCATAGAGACCACCATGAAGTTGTTTCTCAGAATTCATGGCAGCTATGGATCATTGTGCAGTTCTGTGCAAGTGCAAAACTAAAGCAACACAAAGTACTAACTTGAACAGAACACACAATATCACTTAAAAAATGGTTAAGTGCCTAGCATTTAAAGTTTGTGGATAAAAAGCCAATGACAGAGAATTCTTAGTCATTGCCCAATGGTCTGCATCCTAAAAACTGCCAAAGAAAAGCTGAGACATTAGGTGCCATCAAAATGCTCAAATTGCTGAGAAAATGTGGACCAAAGACACCATGAAAGAAAATCAGAAAGACAAGATACTCAGGAAAAATTATTTACAACACACTGAAAAAAAGAAGCAACTCATACCCGAAGGTTTTGGTTACCATTTGTAGGAAAAGTCAGATTTAAAAGCATCTTACCAGATATGAACTACAAATATTCACTAAATATAAGCAACTATAATTACCTACAATAGTTATTAGCAATATACAAATCAAAGCAATAAATGAGGTTCCCTTTCCACTCACCAGGAA